TAAAATAAATACCTTTGAAACCTGTTTACAGTCATGATTCATACATCCTCAAGGAACTGACTTGGTAAATGTAAAAAAGATGGCGTAGTTCTGCAGCTACTGTAGTGACTGTTTCTACTCCTTATGCCTGGTTTCATTTCAGAGATACCCCATGCTTCCTATTTCATAATTAAGACTAGGGATGTTAAATATCAGTTAATTGAATTGTTGATTCACCACATGAATTCTTATCAGTTAGTCGACTATTCTGTAATGCCTGAGCATGGAGCTGGCAGCCAGTGTGCTCTGGTCCCACCCAGGAGGAATCCCCTACCACTCTACGCAGCAGAGCTGCAGTGGGGGTAGGTCCCAGACCCCGTGCAAGCAGGCCTGAGTTGGGCTGCTGACCAGCCTGCTAAAAAATGTACTGGTGGTGGGGAGGAGAAATGTGTGTAGTCTATTGCATTTAATGATAAGCTTTAGCTTATTGGTTAATTGACTACACTATTACATTCCTAATTAAGAGTATGAACTGCTTTCCCCACATTAATTTTGGACAAGCGAGAAGTGATTAATTTAGATCTAAATATTCCTCACTTGGATGACACGAAAATGACTATTTAATTTTAAAGGTTGGCTTACAGGTAATCAATCCTTTGTGGTATCTAGTTTTGTGAATGAAGATTTAATGTTTTCACAGCTGCTGACCCACAGTTGGGTCTGGATTATTTTGACTGTTATTACCAGAATCGTGTTACTTAGCGGCTACAGTGTTTGAGTCTGGGATGAGACAGAGGCCAGCTTCAAAACATTTATCCTTGCAATGGATCTGTGGGGTCCTTCCCCAAGGGGGACTTTCCATCAGCCGGGACCAAATCAGCACCGGGCTTAGAACCTGGATTTCTGAACTCGAGTTGCCGGAGCCCGGGCCTGGCTCTCATAAACGTACACAGGAATGCTACTTTTTAAAACGTGTGGCAAGGCGGCGTGGTGCCTCCCCCGCCCCGGCCGCACACCAGCCTGAGCCTTACACGTGGAAGGTCAGTCCTCGCAGCTTGGAGTTGGGCAGACAGCGAGAGGCGCAGCCGACAGCGGAGCAGCACTTCACCATGGTGCTGGGGGCTCATGCCAGACCTGTGGGGGGAGGAGACAGTGTGAGGCTGGGCTAGGAACCGTGTCTCATACGGGGCTGACCCTACGCCACTCAGGGAGGCTACTTCAGCCAGGCCCCCCTCCCCTCCCCTCCCCTCGCGCTGCTCCTTGTGCGCAAGGCCCCAGGCGCGGCGGGGCCCGTGATTCGCGCGGCCAGGGCAAAGCGCGCGCTCCTCGCGCCCGGCAGCGGCTGAGAGAACCGCGCGCTCCCCGC